AAACAAAAAAAAAAAAAAAAACACAAAAAAAAAAAAAAAAAATATTGAATTCACAACACAGAAAAAAAAAAAAATGAAAAACAAAAAAAAAAAATGAGGAGGGGTAAAGAGGGGGGGGGGGGGGGGGGGAGGGAGGAGGAAGAAGTAGGTGGGAGAACGGGAGGGAAGGGAGGAGGAGGTAGGAGAGAGAGCGAGAGAGAAAGGAGGAGGTAGGAGGGAGAGCGAGAGAGAAGGGAGGAGGTAGGAGGGAGAGGGCCCAGAAACGAGTCGTTGTTTGGCGTAACATGGACGAGCAGGAAGTTAAAGACATCGAGAGAGAATTTCTACAGGTAGACTCCAATAACCCTCCTCCTTACCCCCTGACTCCCTCTTCCCTCTCCTCTTTCCTTTCCTCCTCCCCTTCCTCTACCCTCTCCTCTACCCTCTCCTCTACCCTCTCCTCTACCTTACTCTCTTCGTCTACCTCGTCCTCTCCTTGTTTCCTCGTCTCATCTCTCCTCCTTCTCACTCTTTCGACAGGAGAAGGAAGAGCTCTTGGAAACTATTCGCGAGCAGGCAGGGGAAACTCCGGCCGTCTGTGTCGCTGAAGCTGCTCTAGGACCGTCAACTGAAGCTCCTCAACCTCATCGTGAATAATTTCGTTCCGCCAGAGGAACGGCAGAAGGTACTCAGCGAGGAAAAGAGGAAGAGGAGCGGGGAAGGGGAATGTCAAGGAGACGAAGGGGGCGGGGGGGGAGGGCGAAAGAGAAGGAGGAGAGGAGAGGAGAGGAGAGGAGAGGAGAGGAGAGGAGAGGAGCGAGTGTGTGAGTTACTTTCCAGGTGGAGAGACGCGCAGCCTGGGATGAGGAAGGGAAGGAGTACAGGGCAAGCACAACGAGCCTCCTCCCCTGCTGGTCAGTTGATGGCAAGAGCAGGTGGAGGCGCCGAGCTCGGCGGGAGCGAGCGCGAAGCGTCCTGTCTCTGCTGTCACAGGCGCAAAGAGGTGAGGGAGGACTCTCCTGACCTCGTGCTGGGATGAAGAATCACTTGCAGGCCAAGCTCGGCTGTAGCTCGAGCAGCCAACCGGTGGGACGCATCCCATCCCATCCCAACCCATCCTTTCCCCTTCACTGCTATCCTCTCTCCTCTCCCCTCCCCTTCGCTCCTCCCTTCCTCTCCCTACCTCACTGCTCCGTCCTTTCTCTCCTCTCCTTCTCTCCTCCCCTGTCCTCTCCCCCTTCCTTATCTTCACTCCTCCTCCTCCTGCCATCCTCTTCTTGTCTCGCATGTGACGAGGCGTCTAGGCTGGGAAGTGAGAACCCGCGCTTCAAGGGGGAGAACATCATCCAACTCGAGCTGGACATGCCGGAGAGGACGACGAGAGACTACGAGGAGAGGGACCTGCTGGGGGACGGTCTGCTCTTGCTTCCCCTCCTGCTGGCGTGACGCTGGGGAGCAGGAGACTTTCTTGGAGCCTCCGTCCCCACGAGACCCAACGTGTACCTGGGTCTTCCTGGTAGTGCGAGGAGGAAAGGAGACTGAATCGTCTTGACATGCTGTCCGTCAGACTCGGGAAGCGATGGGAGCAGCAGCTCCTCTTCCTCCAGGCCCAAGTCGCGCGGCGTCTCGTCAAGGTGGAGGAGGAGGAGGAGGAGGAGTGGCAGGCTGGACTCTGACTGCCCCGCGCATGGCAGGCCCCGGCCGCAGAGCGCTCGCCGTGGGAAGGCAGAGGGATCCAAGGGAGGAAGCGAGCAGGTTGAGCCGGTGGAAGACTATCCCGAGGCCCGAGGGCTGGTGCGAAAACGGTAGGAGGAGGAGGCTGGGATGCGCTGTTGAAACATCTGCCCCGCTGCCTCTGTCACATGAGCTTCTTTTCAAACGTATTGCTGAAGTACAAGATGAGAGGAGCCTGAGGCTCCGAGTGCCTGCCATGACGCCACTGCCATGAGCCGTCGGACCGTTCCGACTCTGTGAGCCGCCGGACTCGGAGAGTCCGGGCCGACGGCCGGGCCAGAGTCCGGCGGGCTACTGGTGACCTGCTAGTATCGAGTCATGCCGGTGCACCGTCAGTGTTTGTCTGATCCGCCGACACGGTCACCAGTCGACCTGCCGCACTCAGCCGAAGTAGCCGAAGTCACCCAGTAGTACTTCCGAGTGACCGACCGTACCATCCGGGACTGATTGGACCCGGTGACCGGGTGCCGACTCACGGTAGTAGTAGTCTTTACTCAAAGTTAAGTATCAGTATTAGTCTTTACTCAAAGTTAAGTTAAGTTACTCTTAAAAGTTGTAGTAATGGCCTAACTCAGACCGATATGGCCGGCCCGGTGAGTGAGCTTCTCCGTGCAGTTGGGGCCGTCCCCCTTATATACAAGTATTATAATATTTTGTACCGCTTTGGAAGGTTATATATTACTTATTACAATTATATCCCCATTAGATCATAGTAGCGAACGGATGTGCAAGAGAGTTTACTTATATGAAGTTACATCAATACATCACCTCAAATTAACACAGAGGGAACTTGGTATTAAGCGGGAAAAAATCAGATTAATGGCCTGAAGAGTACGATTAAGATTCATTGAAGGAGAAATCAAGGCCCATTTCTTTTTAACGCCGATATGTAACCCCACCCTTTACGAAATAGCAAAATGAAATGATAATGAGGGGTATGTGGCTTTTTTGTTTAGAGGGATTGGGGAATAAAAAGAACGATCGACCGAAATCCCTGCATAGCATTGAGATTCAAGAGTTGGCGTGTATTTTAAAAAGAAATAGCCTTGCACAAATGGTACAGATACACCTGAATGAAGTATTTAAAATTCTATAATTTTGTTTTATCCTCTATATATCTACTTGTTTTTAAAGCTTGATAGACATCCCTTATGTTCAGAGCTGAAAACGTACTGAAAACGTACAGCATCTGGTACTTAATTAAAATTAGTTTTACATAATAAATAAAGTTATTAAAAAAGCCAACTTTGTTTTCCCCCAACTACGACGACTCCCCAAACCATACAGTCTGACCCCACCCACCCCAGTCTTTTCAGCGCATCGTAGGCTTCGACCACCCCTGCATTTCCCACCCTCCACCCTTCTAGGACCAGGAACTATGAACGAGTACCGCCTATAAAGTTCCCAATGTGTTTCTTGGAGGACCCTACCCCCCTTGATACCCACCCACATAGGGATTCACCACCCTTGATCACTTGTACCCCTTTGTAGCTCCATCTGTACCATGGATAACCCGGTCCTTTTGCCGGATTTTCTCCGAATCTTATATTAATACAGGTCACCCCACCCTATTGGTTCCGATAGGAAATTGACCCCTACCCCCTTTATTGTAGCCATACCCCACCTGAGCTAAACATACTAAACCCGTTCCCCCTGTTTAGCCGGTCCTGCATGCGCAAGGCGCTGGGCAAGAGGAGGATCAATAACCGCGCTCTTGATCGTGTTTCCTTCCCCTCGCCCTCTGCTTCTTCTCTTTTTCCTCCTTCCTCTGAACCTTTTCTGGGCTTCAATCTCCCCCGTCCCCACCAATTTGACCTACAAACGCCTTGCGCTCGTTCCCACGTACCTTGTTTTCGTGTACCTGTTTCTTCGAACATTGTTAGCACATCCTCTTCTCTATCTCAGGGTCGGAACTATTCCGTGAGCAGAAGATATATCTCTGACAAGTCCCACGCGAACTCAAGCCATCTGACATCTCGACCCATCCGTTCGGAACCTTGGACGATTGAGACTGCCAAGCGTATCTTTCCTGTTCTCCTCCTTTGTCTTTTCTCTGGGAACTGTGTGTCCGCAAGTGGTTTCGTGATGAGCTCTTCGAATTTACAGAAGCCCCTCCCGCTCCCCAATATCATCGGGCATCGTGGTGCGAAATCAGTTGCACCAGAGAACACGCTTGCCTCGATTCGGGCCGCCAAGAGACTGGGCTGTACCTTCGTGGAAGTGGACGTGATGCTTTCGAACGATAAGGTAGCCTGCATCCATCATGATAACACGTTGGATCGATGCACCAATGGACGAGGCTTCCTGTGGGACCAGAACATCGATGCTCTCCGCTCCTTGGACGCTGGCTCTTGGTTTGACAAGGAGTTCGCTGGCGAGAAGCTGCCGCTCTTGTCCGAGGTGATCCAGACCTGCAGGGATCTCAACCTCGGACTGAACCTGGAGATCAAACACGCGACTGACAAGGCCACGGACGTTCCCACTCCTGAGGAGAGGGAGAGGGAGATCGAGCTCGCCGAGAAGGTGTGCGTTGACATCGTAGACCTGGAGGCCGATCCCTCCAGCATCGTGTTCTCGAGCTTCAGCAGGGATGCCATCAGGGTCCTTTACGAGAAGCTGCCGCACTTCAAGCGGAGCTTCCTGGTCGAGGGCCTGCCGGAGGACTGGGAGGATTTCGTGGCTCGTTACGAGTGTGTCAGTCTCAACTTCAACCATAAGGAGGTCCCCAACCAGAAGATCGCCGAGATCAGCTCACTCGTCCCCACCTACTGCTATACCGTCAACGAGCCGGGGAGAGCTCGAGAGCTCTTTGCCCTAGGTGTGAAGGGCGTGTTCAGCGACTGGCCGCACGTCATCCAGGAAGGCCTTATTATCATCGACAGCCCACAAGAGAAGGTCGACACAACGGGAACCTCCTTGCCGAGCTCCAATCTTCCTCCCCTGCGCGTTGCTGGCTTTGCGTGAACTTCGGTCACCTCGGCCAATCCTGTAACCGAAGGTTTATTGTTTGTACGAGCATAACTCCGGCCGGACTCGCTCACCCCGGCTCGTAACTCTGACTCTCTCCTCCTCACTGCCATTGAATGAAGTGAATCGTGAATGTTATTAAGAGATTCGGCCCCCCGGCGACTCATGATCATTCCTCCTGCGGGCATCCTGCGAGCCTGTGACTCAGGTCGAGACGAGTCACAGTACTACGGTAAAACTTAGGTCTAACTTACCGGCGCCGGCAGGGGCAGTCGGAATAACGTTTGTTGCGAAGTTCTCTCAGTCTGTCCCAGACGGTCTCAGCCGGGCCGGGCCGCAGTAAATCACTTGTGACAGTTTCCCAGTCACTGAGTCACGCCGTGACGGCCGCGGCAACACGGAGTCCGGGCCGGCCCGCCCTGAAAGGCCCGGCGGCGCCGGGCTCATGTTTCAATTAAAAAATTAGTAAACTTTGGGTGGCGGTGGTTTCAAACAGGCGTGATGGCGGCTGTGACGGCTGTGGTGAAGCAGCAGCAGGACGTGAAGGAGGGGGGAGAGGAAGAGAGGTACAGGCATGTAGATTCATCCTCTGCTCTTCATCCTCACTTGAACAACGAGCTTGCATGCTTGTTGACATCTTTTCTCTCCAGACTTTGGCTTCTTCTGGGCCTAGGTACTGAAGGTGAATGGGAAGACATACAGAACCGACAGTCTGAGGACGAAGTGAGAGAAATGCTAGATGACTTGAGAGACTTTGTAAAACATGTAACTCAATCTTTGAATGTCTTCAATGTACTGACGCCTTTGTTCAAAAGCAGACAATCGACGAAAGCAGGACGAAGGCGGAGCAGCTGAATGCGGATCCCCTCCTGGACCTTGCATCGAAGCATGCAAGCTTAGGAAACAAGCTGGAAGGAGGAATGTTCTCACACAATGTAGATTCTCTGCAGAGGTGCCTGCAGAGCATCAGCGCACATGCGATCGGCGGTGAAATATCCTTGTTCCTCTACCTTCCTGCTTCGACCCGATTAATTGTCATGCTCTCAGATGGATTTGTGCACGACCGTGTCTCAGACTTCGAAGGAGAGCTGGCAGAGAAAGAGAACATCATGAGCGAGAGACTGAACAATGTACAACAAAATGACAACTGCCAAAGGGCAAAGCAGGGAAGCGACAGCGAGACAGGTTCATATTACTGTCCCCACACACAAACCGATTGCCATCTCATCTGCTTCAACAGCATGTGAGGAGGACATCCAGAAATTGACGACAGTCATGGAAGAGTTGCGACACTCGGTATGACATTCATTTCTTGTGATGCTGTGACCACTGACTGGAACCAATTCCAGGTTAACAACTTCAACGACATCTACAACTCCCAGGTCAAGAGTTTGCTGCAGAGGTTGCAGCGACCAACCGTCCGGCAAGAACTTGGTAACGCATGCTCTTGTCCTCCCTGACTCTGTCCTCCTCACCTGACTGACTTGACAAGGTGATGCCGTATCCCGAACCGCATGCTTGAGCAGCAAGAGTCGTCAGTTCATCCAAGATCTGAAGGAGCTTCGAAACCTTCTCCAGGTGGAGACTGCGAGTAGTCAAGAAAGCAAGAACGCTGGTGCAAAATGATCATCGACGGTCAAACAGATGCTGGACTGATTACAAATGGGGCAGGTGATGCGGAGTTTGCGGATCTCAACAGAAGTATGGAGATTGTGCAACGTCTGCTTCAAAAACTTCAAGGATGAATTTCGCACGGGGCACTCGAAGTAGTAATCCTTAAAGTATTATTCACATACAACAGTCACAAGTTCTTGAGGAGCAAAATTCCTCAAAATCGAAGGCACACTAATGTTGAAGCATCTAGGCTGCAGAAATCTGATCGAAATATATCAGAAATGTGCCAAGGAACGAAGAGATAGAAAAATAACAATCAGTCCAACACCATCACCAAGAACGATAAACCCAACAGAACATGCTCAGAAGGAATCCGCCATACACTCAACAACGCTGACCTTGCCAGATTCTCTTGATGTTTCTTCCCACTGATGCATAAACTGTCGCATGGCAACCTGGAGTTCTCAGTGTGAGGCCGCGATACAGGTGAATGAAACAAGTCAGATGAATGAAACAAGTAATGGACTGACTTGATATAAAGTCTTGAGAGTCAATACGACCATGTACCAATAACCTGATGATCACAAAAGTGTCAATGGAAAGCCGAGCTACATTGAACGAAATCACCGAAAGGAGCAAGAGTGCTATGACGGGTAATGCTTGTGTAAGCAATCCTTCCAGCCACAATGTACCTGAAGCACGTCTCAGAATGTCCAAGCTGTTCAGTCTTCAGTACCAGAAAAATAGGATCAAGAGCTTCTTTCTGTCTCCCATTATCATCGGGCAGAACATCTGAAATTCATGAAGATTACGAAGGAAACGATTATCATGCAGGGATTGTATACCTTGCTAACCTTCGTCATGTTCGTGTCGACAGTGTTGCATTTGTTCTTTGTGCAGGCCGCTTTTTCTCCAAATAGCACAAAAGTTCCAACATATTTGCCGACAATCAGCGCAGGCTTCAGAAGATAAATCATGGTTGCAATATGCAGGAACATCTCGAAGCAGCCGTGCAGAAGGCCATCAAACGATCCATTCCAGCCAAAATGTTGAGACACTCCCAAGAAAAAGCAAGTAAGCGCAACATTGATAATTGTGTCTGTTAGCAAATCGTCGAAGACTTCTTTGCATGATCGTATTCTTTCTGCTGATATTGATTCAGGACGAGCCGGGGTTGATCGTTTAGGCTTGACTTTTTCTTCAGTTACCGTCAACGACAAAAGTCCACAAAAGCACGTCCAAAGATATTTCCTCCTTTGATATTTTCCATCGTCTTCTCGAATGTCACGCACTTCGGCCTCTAATCCTCCGATTCGTTTCTGCAATCCAGACACGTCGGATTCCACTCTCTCTACAGCTTCAATGGCTGTGCTTGCTGCAAGCTACAGAAACGCATAAGTGATATGAGACTGCTTTGTCATCGGGAAGGATACCTGTGCCTGCTTTACTTCTTTCCTTGCTTGGGCAACGGTCGCGCTCGCAACATCCAATTTTTTCAACAAGCTATCCAACGAGCTTGCTTCCTCGCTCCTTGGGACTTGAAGTTTAGACAGCGCATTCAGACCGATGGAAACCATAGCCTTGACAACAGCAACATTCTCGTCCTAAGATACGAAAATCGGTCAGGTGAAACTATTCTTTGGAGAGAAATTACTTGTTTCGATTCGAGAGCCATAGCAACAACTGGATGTCGACCAGGTTTCACGACATGTACAAAGCCAGATCCATCTCCAATGGGTCCCAGATACTCACCAGCATTCACCTTTCCCTTAACTTTCAAGGGAACCTACACAGATAGTCATAACCTTGGAGTGCAGGGGAGAGGAGGATAACAAACCTGTCCGAGGTATGCACACCAATGACCAAGTTTTTCTTGTTCTTTAGTCGGATGGGGTTCACCTTTCCAAAGAGCGTTCTTATCCGACACCACGAGGAACATCTCGGCATCCAAATCATCCGCAGGGACGAGAAAGCCCTCCTTGAGCGCCACCACAGCGCCATTGAAGAAGGGAGACAGACCCTCTTTGCGCGTGAAGAAATAGGCTTGATCACCCTTACTCGTCTCGCTCCAAATGTTGCCATGCGGATCGAAGGTATCCGACAGCTCACGACTTGCCAGAGGCGATGGGAGATGCCAGAACCAAGCCATGTTGTCGCCGCTTTCCGTTCCCGTCATCTTAGATGCATCATTGTGTTGTGCGGGCGGCTCCATAAAATTGCTCTGCGGGGGCACTTGACAGTCAGGTGGGCTGTGAAGATCTCCATTCATCGATGGAGAAGATTCGTCTGTCATAGAGTCTTCAGGGCTCAGCGACCCTCCATTAGTGGTAGAGCCTTGTGTCTTCACAGACTGTGAATTGAAGTACTGCCCTCCTGCATCAATTGCATCCAGGAATGCCTAACAAACAAATCAGACACACACACACACACACGGCTTCACATATATTGCAGTAAGGCAAAACAATCAATCAATACCTGCAAAGACACCTCGAAGGTCTCGCCGACGTAAGGCATTTTTGAACGAAGTTTGATCTTGACGTTCTCTCCATCGATAATTGCCGGTGTGACTGGCTGTTGATGCGCGGGATACACCACATGATTCTGCATAGAAGAAGAGATCCTCGTCCCTGCCTCGTCCTGGCGCTGACGTTTGTTTCCGCTCAAATTTTCTTGAGCCTCAGTCGCGTCCAAGAAACTATAAGGATTGTTGCCGAGACAAGGTTCCTGCGTAGGCACAGCAGACGGAACCGTTGGGATATTGTCGAGAACGCGGTCCATGTCGGGCGCTTGATAGGCATCCAACAGAGTATGCTCTAAGAACTGGCTTGTCCCTGAGATTCCAGGTTGGTTATGGGGAATCGAATGTGCGGGGGCAGAGAGATGTGCAGCCTGCAGGTTCCGAAGAAGGAGGGGATTCTTCGGAGTGAATCTTGCGCCTGTCTTGGCCCACCTTTCACCAGACTCAAGTTTGTAATACTTGTGCATTCTACTAAATGGCCTCCCATTAGATCCGTCGTCCCTGTCCCTCTTCCTCCTGAGCTCATCGAACCTCTGAGAGAAGAGCTCGCCATCGATAACCTCATAGCAACCGTGAACCTGGTCCCATCTCAAAGCTTGTCCTTCCTCGCATATCCTCTGCACAGCATCGGGGAGGAGCAATCCCGTCGACAGCGGCGACACCTCTGCCATGCCCTTCTCTGCGCTGACAACCCCACCCCCAATTTCCATTCCGGACCCCTCCCTGCACCGCCTTGCATTCCACCCCACCCTCCATTCTCGAAAAATTTACTACACATTCTTCTACCACTACCACTACCACTAAACTCACCACCCCTTCTACTCCACCCCACGGCAAATTCAGATTGTTGAAGGTCACTACTACCCCTGTCACCTCTACCACCCATGGATCATGACAAACCCTACCCCAGAACGGAAAGTTGATCACCCCACCACAACAGACGAAGCACACCACCCACCTTCTTACGATGAGGAGTAGGACCCCACCTCATATTTTCTCACACCTGCCACCGTGCTTGGACCAATCCTTTCATCTGTCCTACCCCCTGAGTAAGACCAAGGACCTTCCCACCTACACCACCCCCCGTGTCGTGTCAACAAGAGATCGAGCTGGGACCTGGACCCAGTCCACCCTACCCCCATCAGATCTTCCTACCCCACCCATGAGAATGTGGAGACCCACCCTGTTCAAAGGCTAGTTTGCTTCGATTTGATTGCCCTACCCCACAATTTACCTACCCTACCACCCTCACAGTTCTTCAAAAATATGATCTATTATGAATTTTTGTATGTGGTCCCTTCCATCGAACATATAAAATCTTTGGTTGATCCCCTGTACCCTTGCCTCTAGTACCCTACCCCTGACAAGGCAATATAGAACCCACCCCTCTCGAGGCTACTACCCCTTGCAAAGGAAACAGTGCACCAATCACCCCCTCTCCAACAATGATAACACCCACCCACAGTTGAGGTAGCACAAGGCGACCTAGTACCCCTATTTGATGTCCTTTTATCTTGTCCAAGAGGAGTAGGGCATGCGACAAGGTGGTAGGGTGAGGGTATGTAGTGGGTGGGGTATAGGGGTGATGGGACTTAATTGGGGGTGGGGGGGTGGGGAGGGACTGCCATGGTGGCAGAGCAGTGGGTTGCAACGATCAGAGCGAAAAAAAGTTAAAAGTGCGAATACTACCCCTTGTACAACAGAGAGGGTACCCCCTACCCTGACAAATCAACAGGTATCCCACCTCTTTCAGCTCGATTCACGGTCACCATGACGGGTTCTACGATACACAACCCGAGGTAAAATCACCCAATTCTTCGATAGGTGGGTGGGTAGTCGGGTGGGATTGCATCGGCAGAGTGATGAGGTATTGCCGTGACCAAATAAAAGATAAAATTGTATAAATGTTTTATGTGAATACCAAAGACGTAAAACGAAACGTTGTGATTTAAATATTTAAAAGTCTATCTTCGGCACAAGCGCTGCGTTCTGTCATCGTAAAACATTTATAACACGGAGAACTGTCATGTTCCCCGCCTTTACAGACTTGAAAATATTTTCGGATATTTCAAATCTGACTGAATAGTTTGAATAATACATGGTAAATCTAAAAAAAGTGCTCATTTCTGCTAAAACGAACTAGGGTCCCACCACCCCTGTCTACAAGCAAATTAATCACCCACCCCCCCTTTAAGTGCATCGTTTGCCTGCAGGGGTGCTGGGGAAGCACAGGTCCGCCTCGGGAACTGTAACCAAAGGAAAAAAATAAAAGACGAGGGGAATGGTGGCGGGAAAACAGATTTCTCATGAGCGAAGGCAATGCAAGAGCATGCGCAGGGGAAGGCAAAGTTGGGAAGGAGAAGCGATTTGGACTGGGGAGGGGGTGAGATGCGAGGAGGAGGGTGAGGGGTGTGTGGATGTTCTGCGGGGGATGGGTGGGATGGGAGGGATGTAAAAGAGTTGATCAGAGGGAATGTTAGTACGCAACCTCTTGCGGTAGTAAGAGAGGCTACTAGAATCATCAGGGCACGCAGAATAGCCTGTGGATATCGTTCCATCATGTGCGGGTGAAGGGTGTGTGCGCAGCTCGCTATAGATGTGATGGCAGCCAAAAAAAGTATCACAGCCAGGCTAGTGGATCAGAACACAAGGAAGTATGAAAGAGGCGCTGAGGTAACTGTCATAACATCGATATCCAAGTTGAGAAAGATTTCGATGTGTAAATAGCTAATGCCCACAAAGCACTGTCGAGAAGTGACTGGAAGACAAGTATTTACATACATATCAGTTGTGCTCCGGTTCAGTGTTCTCGTGTCGTCTGAAACATCCTTTCACCCCACGAAGTTGACGGTTCTCTTCATTTCCACCACATCCTGTCCGTTCTTGTCAACAGCCCAGACATGCAGCTGTAGGAGACCCAGGCCTGATTTGGGGGATAGTCAGCACGGGCGATGTTCTTCATCGTCCTTCACCTGCTGCAATGCTAAGCTCCTGCCGCAGCCTCCTAACTTCCAGCACGCCCTCGTGCAGGCGGTTCCCAGAGATCTCAAGCACGATCCCCTTGATGTCCTTCAAGAGCGAAGGAGAGACGAGTAAGATTGAGGAGCTGTGGAGGACTGGAGGCTTACCTCTGGGATCCAAAACCCTCTCACGACAACCTCCAGCAACAGCATGCCGTCCTGGACGCGGCTTCCTTCCTGTGGACTGAGGCAGCATCAACGTGTCTTCATGCTCAGTTGACAGAGGACTTCACCTCAAGATTTCAATCTCCTTCCTGTCGCAGAGGCCAGCGACGTGACCCCAGCTAAGGGTAGACGAGCTACGCTCGCAAGCCCTCGCTCTGAGGGAGGGGCGCATCCGTCCGAGGATCTGGGAGCGAGCAGGAGGAATGTCCGAGAAGAAGGCACCTAGCGCCGTTCGGATCTCCCTGCTCAGTGCGGCAAAGACCCGACGAGACGCGAATTCTGAGTGGACTAGCGGGTCGCTCTTGGCGATGCACTGCCTTTCACCCGCGATCTCCTGTAGCCTCACTGTGTACGGTGCGAAGTCCCAGTCCTGCAAGATGCTGCCGTGGCTTGTCACGTAACTGGACAAGCTCTCGTCGAAGGCGGTCTTGAGCATGCGCCGAGATGCTGCGAACGCGGGGAGAGGAACAGATCCTTGCAAGATCCTGTGGCCGATGATCTTCCTGAACTGGTTGAGCAGGATACTTTCGCGCTCCTCTTCCTCCGTCAGCCTTGCTGTCGGGTCCTCGACCGGCAGAGGGAAGCGCTTCCAGCCTGCCAGCATCACCTCGCACCCGTCCTGCAAGAAAAGTTACCGTGCTACTCTAACAGCTCAACCTCTCTGACCTCCTGGGCGAGCTGGAGGCTGTGGAACAAATTTCTGTCGGCCATCCAGTCCCTCGCATCGATCCACAGGACCCACTGGAAGGTTGAACCTTCATCGGCGATCGACACCGACTCCTCAAGGGCTCGAGCGGTTTGATAATCGTGGGGCACAACGGAGGGGAAGAGGTCAAAACCAAACGAGGAGTTGATGAACACAAGTTGTAGAGACTGATAGAACAACTCAGATCCGTGCTGGTCGAATTGAGCCTGAGTATGAGACAAGACAATCTTGACTCGGCCACAAAAATTTTGACTGGCGATGCTCTCCAAGCATCTCAGCAAGTCTTCTTTCCCTGCTCAAGGATCATCTCCAAATCAACACCGAGCTCCTCTCCTCCACCGGCTTTCGTGGCCACCACTCGAACTTCAATGACCGCCTCCTCTTCCTCCGGTCGAGAGCAGAGCCGGTCCGTCTGCTGTGGTAGCTCCTCGTCTTCTCTTCCCGGCCGTAGGTCTTGAACTTCAGACCTCTCTGACTGATTCTCAGATAGCAAACTCGATGGAGCAGTAGTGCTACCTGATCGCCTCCTTCCCACCACCTCCTCCAGTCCATTCTTCCAGATCCATCCGAGAGGATCGAGATATTTCTTCGCAAGTTCGAAGTTGGCGGAGACGCCCTCCTTCATCTGCAACAGCCTCAGGCTCCCCCTCCTCGCCCTTGGGACTTACTTCATCGTAGAGCTCTGCCGACAGACTGGCTAGCACAAGTTCGGCTTTTTCTATGTCCTCAATGTAAATGACCCCCCTCGAATCGAACATCTCCAGCACAGTCTGTTGTGTGTTAACGATGAGGAGTTGAAAGATGGTGGGATATGTGGGTAGTGATGGTGGCTATGATAGAGGAAGGGATGAGGAACAGCAAGGGAGAAGACATTGGAGGAAAAAGAGGTCCTCATAAACCTTTGGTCCCCAATAAATTGGAATCGTCCCAGTGATGAAGCAATCGATGAGTTTTTCAGTGAAGTACGAATCATATCTCAACAACGAAGAGTTTCAGGCCGGACGGTGAACAGGTTGGAAACAGAAAACCTGCTGTTCTCGATTGCAAATGAGAACATGTAAGGTACTAGGGTGACTTGCTTGTCGGTGATAAATTGCCCGTCGTATGCCTGTTACAACTTACACTTGAATATGAAAGCAATAGGAACGAAGGTTGTACCTGCCCAAAACACTCTAACGTATCCAACCCCTCCTTTCTTCCGATCTTCTGTCCACAATGTCTCTCGACGATCTTGTGCCTGACTTGGTGACCTGACATTGACATCAACGCTTTCCTACCTTGCCGCACCCGGGCCCGCAATCGCACCAGGAGCATGTGATTTTGCACTTGCCAACATCGAAGCAAGACGAGACTTGTTGTGTATCTTCCTTGCATCCGCATGGATCAAAGATGTTGCGATGGGTGCATATCGCCCCATCCCGTTGGGAAGTTTCGCAATCAGCTCCTGAGAAAGGTTTGAGAATCTAACTGCGACATCTATGACGTACTTGCTTGTGTGTGAAGACAAGGTCGAACTTGGAATAGTTGTTCTCGATGAAGGTGTAGGGCCCTGCATGAATCACTGGAGGCTCTAAGATCCATGCTGCATGCAACTGCACGTTTACAAGCTCCATCAGCTCAACCATCATCCTCCTGCTCTCTCTCTCACCGCATTCTCAAGCCGTATGCTCGGCAACGAGGAGCTCCACTGCCCAAAGAAGGAGGAGGAGGAGTCGAACCGGCGAAGATTTCTTTGCAGCTCTCTATCCGTGTACAAGATTACATCCACAACCACGTCTCCAGATCTGTTCTGCACGCCCTGAGACTTGCTCGCGAGGAATGGACAACTTGAATGGCGGATCTCGAACTCCGGCCGATCCACAAGACCGAAAACAATCCAGTCATGAGGGCGGAGGTCGTCGGTGTAGGCTGCCGCAGAGTCTTGAGTCGTGCACGTACCGAAGCCCTCTCTCATCGAGCATCCGCACAGGCCATGGAGGTCCCCGAAGGTGCTATCAAGGAGCAGCATGACTGGCCTGCCTGGTCGCGTGCAGACCTCGTGGGAAAACTTGGTTGCCTCGGGCCCAGAGCAGTGAGCTGATCCCCACAGAGCTCCTTCGCATGCATCCTGGGGTGGTGGTGCCACAGCAGTGCAGAGCAGGAGAGACAAGGAGAGCATGCGATAAACATGTTTGACATGGGACATTGGACGAGACTGCGATCAGACAGCCGACTTCGCACAGGATCAGTCGGGAGATGCTGTAGGTGTGGTTAAGCGAGGAGAGGAGGGAGATGCTGTAGGTGTGGTTAAGCGAGGAGAGGAGGGAGAGGAGAGGCAGAGGCAGAGGCAAAGGAGAGGGAGAGGAGGAAGGAGCCCGCGAACTTCAGTCTCCAAGCACCATTTTGTCAGGATCTCTTTCTCAACTATCAAGTCTGCCTCAGGAAGTTCTCTAATGAGGATCAGAGGGCAGCAACATGAGAGGTTTTCGCAGGAGTGAGGCCGCCATTATGGCGTGATGCTGCTTGCAACGGTGACAGGAGTAGATGCCGGTGATGCGACGGGAGGAGGAGAAGGTACAAGAGCTACAGGAACATCAGAAGCATCAGGAGGAGGAGAAGCACGGGAAGATACAGGAACTACAGGAGCTACAGGGGGAGCAGGAGCAGGAGGGGCAGGGGAAGCAGGAACAGATCTGAGTGTGTCCGGGGGATCCCGAGACTGCAGCATGGGCATGGCGGAGCAAGGAGCGATGGGAACTTCTCCGGCTCCTGGAGAGCAGCTGAATCTCACCGCACCTGTCATCTTGCGCACGGTCAGTAAGCCTCCTGCTTGTTGCTGAGCTCAACAGGGTGAGCAGATAGCTGTGTTCTTGCTATCAGGGCTGTGCGAGATCGGAGGAGGGTGGCTGGTGTGGAACAGCATCAGGTGGAGAGGTCGGCCTGGCTGAAAGTTTCCTCTGACATGGCGCGCAAGGGAGGGCAAGCCTGTATGGCACGGCATCCTTGGTGGAGTGGTGTGAACAGAGCGATCCTTGGTTTGTGGTTGACTGAGAGACTTGTTTAGATCCTGGCGATTTATGGAGTGGTCGCTACCCTACAGCCAGAGGGGCTGGACTTCGGTAGAGTCTACGCCGCCTACGGGTCTCGTACGATTGACACGATGTGATGAGCGACTGATGTGCTTGAAGAGGATATTTCATCCTGCTCTCCCTCCTCTGGGGCGTCTACGTCGACAGAAGCTGGTCCCTTGACATCTTCTGACCTTCCTGGCTGCTGCTGAACATGCCGGGCAGGTGATGGACGCCGGGGACTTCGTGGGAAGTGCCATGGCTATCGCTGGAGCACTTATCATAGTGTTCTGGAAGAGATGAGAGGATCAAGTGGCTGTGGGGCAGGGGGGAGGGGAGACTGCTGCAGCATCCCGGGAGCCTCAAGGCCACTCGGAGATAACAGGAGAAGGCCACTGGAGTTGCGCCTTGCTCTGCAGCGGGCTCAGGTCGCTTTGAGCAGGAGAAGCAGCACACACCCATAGGCTGACGGAGTCCTTGCCCCAGTCCTGGTGCTCTCCCAAGAGGGCGAGCCCAGCTGCCTGCCAGCACACAGTCAGCTCAGACCGAGCAGGAGGGCAGGAGCTGACCTTGAGGACGTGGTGGTCGATGAGGGAAGGGACCTGGAGGGCAGCGGTCATTCTTAGAGAAGGCTGGACAGGACACGACAGACCGGGAGCTGGTCGAACTTGATGGGGGCAACAATCACGATCGCTCGATCCACGAGCTTCTGCTGGAGGAATCGCTTCACCGTCGCCTGCGTGCAGACATGCTGAGGTTGCGACCGCATGCTCCCGTCACTCACCGGCCCGCCCTCGAGCATGAGCTCCTTGACGCCCAGGTTGCTCAGCTCGCCGAGGATGCTGCAAGGGCATGGAGGAAATGTAACAGTAGCAAGCGCGGTGGAAGACGCATACCTTGTGAGGTCCAACGATCTATGTTGATTCGTTGGTGTTGGAATGAAAGAAACTTGATTGGTAGCTGGAGGACGTCGATCATGTCCGCATTCTAGCAAAAAGCAGTCATACCTTCCAGCTCAGAGATCAGCTGTATCCTCCTCTTGTCGACCTCGTCGGAATCGCTATGGAAAATGACTGTCTTATACCCGTCCCTCATCACTTTACACTGCGCAACTTTCTCAGGCACGCATGAACATCAAAAGACCATGATGGCACATGCGCTTCGATCTTCAAGGAAGGATCGATCACGGCTCTTAACGGTTGTTCTCTCCCTTCCAGCAATGGAACTCTCCTCACTGTCAAGGAGCTTGCAGCGATAGGCATCAAACAAACACAGCATTGATTTGTTCACGGGACGTACGGGTCGTCTCGGACAACCGTGCCGATCCCAACGAGGACAGCATCTGAACACCTCCGCAGCCTAGCACCATCATCTATCACATGCAGACTGATGCTGATATCAAACACCTGTGCACCGCATCCAGGGATTGCTCGCTCGTAAATCTTTTGGAAGTGATTCCAAGATCCTGAGACGAAAGTTGTCACCGCGATCCGCGGGGTAAGGGTTGTAGGATGTAGGATGAAGATCTGCTGTACAGGAGGCTCTTGACTTACATCTACAGCGCCGTTCTCGTCCAGAGCGATCTTGAGGGTAACGATAGGAAGCTGTTCGTTTACCATGTTGATTCGCGTCCTGGGATCGAGACCTTGATGGGTTCGCAGTGAAGAATGAAAAATTCAAACCTCAGCTCCGAACATCTTCTATGGCATGCAACGGTGCTGAGAGGGCGAGGGGAACAGCATGGCTGAGAGGAAAGGGATGAGATGTAGGACATGCTGGTCGAGGAGTGGGGTACCCCACGGATGGATGGAGATACATGGCGGCAGTGAAGGGGTAGAAAAGCCTGAAGGGGTTCAACCGAGGCAAAGAGCACGGCGATGCTGAGGATGGAACAGCTGCTAGATCTAGTCGGACTTCTGTTCGATTGCAAAGTCATACTCGAATCTGACAAGTTCCCTTCTCCTCCTCCCCTTCAGCGCATCGTGATCCGAAAGCTGTCTTGGCCTATCTCTTGCCTTGAGTATAGATTTTCATCCCCCAAAAGTCCCTCAGAAACTCTCTCTCCTCCTCTAGTTCTCTCTCCTCCTCTAGTTCTCTCTCCTCCTCTAGTTCTCAATCCTCCTCTAGTTCTCTCTCCTCCTCTAGTTCTCTCTCCTCCTCTAGTTCTCTCTCCTCCTCTAGTTCTCTCTCCTCCTCTAGCTCCCTCTCCTCCTCTAGCTCCCTCTCCTCCTCTAGTTCTCTTCTTCATGACGTCTCTCCCCTTCTCCCTTACCTCCATCCTTGCTTCCCCGCCATCGCCAATGAAAATCCGCCCGACGGTTTTACTGCCCCTGACGCAGTCCTCGACAATTCCTAGGAAGAACTTGCTGTCTTCGGCGGCTTCGGGCGCAATGGCCTAGACCCTCCCCCTCCCTCTCTCCTCCCCTTCCTCCTCTCTCCTCCCCCTCGTCAATCGCATCCTCCACCTTCTCTCCTCTCTCCTCTCTTCCTTTCCGCCCTCTGCCTCTCCCACCTTGCGAGGACAACCTTGGTTCCTTTCATCTTCAGACCTCGGTCGAGGTCAAGACAATGTTGTCGTCACTTGATGCACAGAGATCTTCCCTCCTCCCCTTTCTCCTCTCCGTCATCCTCCTCTCCTCCCTCCCCAGCGTGTCCTGCTCAGCAGACCCAGCCGGCGAAGAAGCGCTCGTGCTCGCAGCTCACCACCTCTCGGTCGACGGCTGGTGTTCCCATCAGATTCTCGTGGGACCTTCCGGCTTCTCCGTGCCATCCAAGTCGTTCTGGTACACGTGAGTTGAACAAGCTCTCTTCCTCCTCCACCGCTCTGGACCATCTGACGTGTCCCCCTTCTCAGAGGCCTCGCCAACGTCCTGGACGAGCGGGGGAGAAGGGCGAACAACGTGTCGTCGGCGGTAGGAGCTGCGGATCGATTTCTTGCTGCTGACCGCCTGCTGGTCAAGGTTCTTCCCTTCGCTCGGCCAAAGGAGCTCGCAGAGGTGAGTGCTCGAGAGCCGAGCTGCTCAAGTTGCTGATGCCGTCCAGCTGAACGCAGGGACTTGCGTGTTCATCGGGGAAGCCTTCCAAGGGTGAGCTGAACGTCCTGACTGGCTCTGACCAAGTTGACGCGCCATGTAGCGTCAGCTGCAAAGACTTTGTGTCTGCCATTGTCTCTGCAAAGTCCGGAAGCATCAAACGAGTCATCGTCTCGGGAACTCCCGGTGAGACCCTCCGATTGTTTCCCGTGGAGAATCTCGTGAGGGAGGGAGTGCAGGAAAATCCAAGAAGGAGAGAATGAAAGCCTCCCGATGTCTGGGGACTTTGATGCACAACAACATGTTCCAGATGAAATTCAACCTGACGCTCTCAGCTGTGGAGGACCTGGAGGCTGTCAGGATTTTCTCAGTGCTGGCATGTGGATACTGATGATCCCGCCTCTCCTGATGTGTTGTACAGGACTACAGAGGAGGAGCAGGGGCAGGAGCAGGAGCAGGAGCAGGAGCAGGAGCAGGAGATGATACATCAAGGCTCCATGTGGACGAGGATGAGAAAGCTTCTCTCCTCCAAGATCAGTGCGGAAGGGTATGTTTGACGCTCCTGCACAAGAATCACAACAACACTCTCCTCAGCCAGTGCGAGGCCTCTTGCCGCTTCTCTCCCCTGGACCGTGTGGAGGGTGACAGGGAGCAGCGGGGTGAAGCTCGCCATGCCCGTCGGACACCGAGCGGCAAGGTCGGGTTGACGACTCTAGGAGGAGGGGGGAGAAAGCTGCTGTCCTGGGTCGAGGTGGAGAGCAAAGCGCTGAAGTCAAGTGCGGCTGCCATGAAGAATGCGCTACAACCTGGGGTTCTGCTCTGTGCTGTGATCAAGGGGAACGCATATGGACATGACCTGGTGGGAGCAGCACTGGAGCTGGAGGAGGCAGGAGTGGACTACCTTGCTGTGGACTCGCTGGAAGAAGCACTCCTCCTCAGGAGCTCCAACGTCTCTGTTCCCATCATGCTCCTGTACTGGTCCAGCCCCTGGCTCGCTCCTCTCATGGCGAGCAAGGCGATCGAGCCGAGCTTCTGGGACCTCGGATGGCTCGCAGCCGCTGCCATCGCGCTGGATGCTCGCAAGCAAGAGGAGGGGCAGCAGCGAGCAGGAGACCTCTCGTTGCATCTCAGCGTGGACAGCGGGCTAGGAAGGGAAGGCTGCCTGATGGAGGAGGCGATGGAGCTGGTGAATGGCATACACAGCCTCGTCCTAGCAGGAGTGAACATGAGGCTCAAGGGCATCTCGACGCACTTCTGCTGTCCCAAGGACGGCAAACTGACTCGAAATCAGTTCAGCACCATGGCGGCGCTGCACCGGGAGGTCAGTCGCCGCTATGGCAAGCAGGGCATTCGTCCTCTCCTCCACACCTCTAGCGGCGGGCCTGCGATCATGCTACCCGAGACCCAGGTGACGAGCGAGCGAGGAAGAGAGGCGGAGGAGGAAGGAACCAGGAGGAGGAGGAGGAGGAGGAGGAGGCTGTGGTGTGGAGCTACCTGACTCGTCCTGTTGGCAGGCGGACATGGTGAGGATAGGAGGGCTCTTGTTCGGCATCCTTCCCAACATTCCTGATATCACCAGAGCGCTCATGCAGGTGCAAGGGCCCCTCCTCTCCTGGACCTCTGCTACTCTCCTTCCCCTTCCCCTCCTGGACGTCTACTAATCCCCTTCCTGCAGGCTCGCGCGGTGCCAACCCGGTCGCTGCGCTGGGTGACAACCGTCGTGCAGGTACGAGGATGAGGAGGAGGAGGACTGGAGGAGTAAGACATAGGAGATGTCGTGATGCTGGAGGGGCAGGTCAAGTCTCTTCCTCCCGGCTGGTGCTTGGGGTATGGGTGCAAGAAGCGGAGCGACCGTGAAGGCTTCAGAGTGAGTCTCCACCACCACCACCACCACCACCACCACCACCACCTCCTCCTCCTCCTCCTCCTCCTCCTCCTCCTCCTCCTCCTCCTCCTCCTCCCCTCCTCCCCCCCACCCCCCCCCGGCATTCTGAGAATCACATCAGGTCGCGCTCCTGCCGCTGGGGTCCCATGACGGTTTTTTGGAGCGAGAGCATGGATTCGACGCCGTTGTACGTCCCTCCCCTCTCCTACCGCTGCTCCGTTTGCTATCCGCTGCACCACTTCCTACTGTTCTTCTTGCTGCTGATACGCTAAAGAGCTGATACTGCTCTCTCCTTGTTCCCCATCACCTTCATCAACCTGCTCTCGATTCCCACACTGCTCAGATTGTCCTTGCCGTCTATTTCTCATTGCAATTCGTCTTGTTGCTGAAGACACTCTCAGATCATCCTTGGAGAGAAATGCCCGGTGATTGCTGTGGATGCTAATCTTGTCACAGTCGACATCTCGCATATCAGTGCGGTAAAACAGTGATCTTGTACTTGTAGCAAGGAACTCAAAGTGGTTTGCAGATATCGCCGGGAGAAGAAGCAATCATACTTGGATGTGATGAGGCAAACAGAAGCGTTTGTGTCCTCCCTACCCTCTCCACTAGAATTCCAACCCACCTTCCAAGGTTTTATGTATGATGTTGATACTGTAAATGCAAACTGGAACATGCTGATAGCAAAGCAAGACTTCTCTGTGGATATGTTTGATGCAATACACAAGCAAGGAGACCGTGCTTGATTCGACAGAGAACTGATTGTTCCAGCTTGCGAGCGTTGAGTTATGTTGCACATACAACACAGCAAAATGAGAAAGACCAAGTCAACAAAGGCTGTTATGATCGGAATCAAGATATGTACCAAGTTGACGTGATGGGGGGGAAACGTACAATTGAGCAATAACATTTATGAGTGTATACAACAAGAATAATCATGAATATAACAACTTGATCGCATCGTCCCTTGAAAGAACGTCCTCCAAGATTCGTTGACGATCCTGTCAGCAGAGTTACATGATGCATCGTTTTTGACGACATGCTCACTTCCTGACTGATCGGCTCTTTGTCGTGTCGGCTGGTAGTGTTGGAAATCTTCAAACAGAGGATCAGACGAACTTCAAAAAAGCGAAGTTTGAAATAACAAGGTGACAAAAGGATGCAGGAAGATATGAGTAAAAACATTCTAGGAGGAATACAAAGAAGAAGAAGAAGATGATGATGATGATGAAGAAGAAGAAGAAGAAGAAGATGTTGACGATGACGACGACAACAACAACGACGACGACGACGACGATGACGATAATGAGTCCTTGAGTAACATGGTGGCGGTATTTAACCTCAAGGGAGGGAAGGGGGAACGAGGAAGACTTGAACGAGGAAACATAAAAGAGCGGGAAGGGCGGAGGAGGGACGAATCGGTTGACCAACCCTCCGGAAGTTTTCACCTTGTCATAACTTTCTCGGAGAATTTTCTCCAACTCAGTCTTGCACTCCATCATAGACAAGTGCATTTCCCTCACCTGCAAGAAAACCTTCTTCAGCTCTTTTCAAAGAGTTTGCATCAAGTCACATGATTCAGCTGTCTCCTATCGTTGTCCAGGACATGTCTCAGTCTCTTCGACACCTCGTAGTACCTGCGCAGGATGCGATCATCATCGTAAGGGCAGCAACGCAGGAAGAAGCTCTGAGACCTCTGCAGCTCTCTGCTCAACTCCTTGGACTTGCTCGCAGGAGGTTCGAGGGTTTCAAGATCTGACGCCTTGATCCCCTCACTGTGAGCAAGTGAGAGGAGGAGGAGAAGGGAAGACAGGAGCTGACGTGGACGAGGATCTCAAACTCTTGACCTGCAACTTGTGCGATCAAGACGAGACAACGGAGAAGAGCGCAGGATACCATCTCCATCTTTGAGCTCGGCAGTGAAGGAGACACGAACTTCTCGAGGTGTTGGAGGGAGGCTGGCGATGAGATGTAAAGAAGAAGGAGCTAAGGGAGGTTACCTGGCATTTTCTCAATCTCTTCCTTCAGCCTTGCGTTCTCTTTCTTGATGGCGACCTGCTTGTTCGATCAAGGTTTGTCTCATTTCATCTCTTCTCCTATCACCGCCTTTCTGATCGCCACCTCCCTCTCTTGCTTTAAAACGCCCTGATGCGCCTCCTGCACGCTACGATCAACAAACTCCGCTTCTCGAAGCATCAACGGCTCACGAATTTCTTGATATTCGCTGCAAGAGTCATGTTGGCCTGACCACAAACACGGTTAGACAGTCAAGTCTGCACAAGAAGCAAGAAAACCTTCGTGAGTCTCTCCGCTTGCTCTTTGAATCTGTCTAGCTCCTGCGAGGAAACAAGTCAACGGCTGCATCAGGGACTCGAAGTTTTCACCTTGGCGAGGTTGGTAGTCTTCTCTAGCCATGCTCTAGCAATCCAACGGTCAAATTTCAATTCACCGAGACTGACACTTCATCACTGAGGGACGCCAGAGGTGCTTTCTTGGTTATCCTCCTGCATGTTTACCATCACAAAAGAAGGCAGACTTCATGAATCATCTCACAGTCTTCATCTTTGACGCAGCATCGTACAACTTGGCCCTTGTGGCTTCAGTCATGCTCCCTCTCCCTCACTCGAAGTTTCACCTGAAATGTCGGAGCAAGTCTTGTTCGTGCTCGTTCTTTACTTGCTGTCATTCGGGTAAGAGCAGCTTCGGCGTGATCGTTTGAGAGACCAGGTGGGTGAGGTTGAGATCTTCAATCCTCTCTTGAATTCTGTTGTACAGGTTGTCGACACGGTGCTACATACTGGGTTAATCACTGCAGATGTCAACGACAAGAACACAAAGGTGTACAATGCTGTCTCCTCCCGTCTGATCTTCTAGAACCTGAATCAGGAAAATCACCTCAACAATGGTCACTGTCTGCCTTACTCTGTTCTCCAACTCTCGTTTCAGGTTTTCGATCTCCTCTCGATATCTTGAGGCAATGGCTTAGCAACATATCAGCGATATCGAGATGGCCGCACTTGTTCTCTCGACGAGCATAGCTGTCACTCTTCCTGTTCAGGTCCTTCAGAAGGTCCTGCCAGGACGTTGAGGACCGACGTGGGGAGCAAGCGAGTCAAACCTCGTGGTTCTCTGACAGCTCCTTGTACTCCATGTACAGATTCTGCTTCTCATGTCAGCCCAGCATGCGGCATGCTCTGGTGACGTCGTTGGTCTCGGTTCACCGTGTACTGATCTTGCAGCGATCGCCGCAATCTGAAGGTTGCGTCGTCTCCCATGATGGACTCAGAGCTCTGAGTTCGTCGACTGGTCGGAAGAAGTCAGTCAGGAGGGGAGGCAGCAAAGTGACAACATGGTTGATCTTCGGTGTGGAGAGGAAGACCGCGTCCTTTCAGTCCTGAACTTCGATGATCAGTTGTAGATGAAGGAAAACGATTCAGTGACCCCGGAGAGAGCATGATCTGTAGATCTTCGAGAGGCCTATAGCGACAAGAGATGTCAGTTGAAATCATCATCTTCAGCTGCATCTCCATCATCATCATCATCATCATCATCATCATCATCATCATCATCATCATCATCATCATCATCATCATCATCATCATCATCATCATCATCATCATCATCATCATCATCATCATCTCATCATCATCATCATCATCATCATCATCATCGTCATCATCATCATCATCATCATCATCGTCATCGTCATCGTCGTCATCATCATCATCATCGTCACATACCGCGGACTTCCTGTTCGCTCCATCACGGCGGCAGTTGACAAGTTTAGACCTCATCCCCGCGCAGATACAGGACGGGCCCTGATGCAGTTAAGTGAAGTTATCAGCTAATTTTGGGGCCAGTCAGAGTACGGATTTTTACTTATTTAGAAAGACTAATTCTCAGAGCGAGAAGTCGACGTGACGTACTGGAAGTGATGAGATCATCGAGACTCTTCGCTCAGATCAGCTTGAGATTGCCTCCCATGTCCCTGCATCGAATCTCATCAGTGCATTGCCGTTGAACTCCATGACAAGTGACTCACCATGGAACAAACAGCTTCCTCTGCTCGTCATAGATGTAGCAGAAAGCGTCTCCGGGCGTCGCGCAAGCGTCAGCGTAGCTGCACACCCAGACCTCCATGACGCGTCGGATCATGAGCTGACCAAGTCCTCCCATCTTGTACGTCTCGTTGCCAGTGCTGAGGCCTTGGATGATTTCCTTCCAGCTGTGCTGGATCTGACAGTGAAGGAACTGCTGCTTCGCGAACCAGTACCGCGAGAGCGTGCTGTTAGACACGTTTGCGGTCCACATCATCGTGAACCCTTGGTAAGCCACGCTATCATCGGTCTGAAACAGAACTTCAACGATCCCGTAAGAGGAGGCGTAGGACAGACTGCCGGGCATGTGCGACCCGGTCAGCTTCGCAACTTCCGTCCTCCCAATGCACTCAAGCGTCGTTCCAGCAAGGCCGATACACTGGTTGATCGTGAGAAAGTCGTATCCAGCTTCGAGCGCGAAGGAGGTGAAGTTGATGCTGATCGAGGAGGCGCCAGGCGGCTGGATGATCCACCGGCAGTTGCTCCTGTCCTCGTAGAGGCTTGACAGCGACGATCCGTCCGTCAGAAACCCATTCGTCTCCTCATACAGCTTACATCGGCACTTGCCCGTGCAGGGCTTAATGGCGGAGCTGCAGATGCTATCCTGCAGCTCCGAGCAGGGAAGGGCATGCTGTCCGCTGCCACAGACGGGGCTCGAGCAGGGGCGGCATGATGAAGCAGAGACGAACTGTCCAGGAGCGCAGCGAATCTTCTTGATCAAGATGCGCGTGTTCTGACAGTACTGACCTGGTGCAAGAGCGTACAGCTCGGCATCTGTCCGGATTGACTTGGTCAAGCCGTCGAGCTGCACGACCGTCCCAGCAGGCGTGTAGTCTTGGTTGGAAGTTGAGTACACGGTGCCGTCCGCCACCACCAGCCGGTCGAGGCCCCAGGGGTAGCGAGCGATCACTCCAACTGCGTCCTTGTCATTGGGCGCTACTTGCCAGCCCGCCGGCAGCTGGACCATGCCGCACTGAAGCCTCTGATTGGAGGATGTGACGGGCCCTTGCAGGGGGTCCCATGGATCTGTCATGTTGTCCATCAGCACCGCATATTCGTCGCCGCTGCTGGAGGAGACGGCAGGGATCCAACTGCACTGATACCGCATGCTCTCAACGGAATCGCCGCTGCAGCTCGCAGTCACGTCGCACAGCACCGCAGCTGGCCTCACAAGCACACCGCTGTCGGTCAGAGGCGGGCTCGTGCAGGGAAGGCACAGCAAGCCCATCTTGAAGTATCCCGGCAGGCAGCGCCAGGAACACTCGCTGCTGGGGCTGTCGATGTACGTGGCGAAGTTGGGGGTGCTGGAGCATGGCAGACAAGCCCCTTGGCTCCGGTAGTGGCCTGTGCTGCATCGCCATGGACAGATGGAGCGACTGGATCCGTCATCTGCCACGTAGACAGCGTTGTTGGGCTTCGGGTATCTCGAGTCGCATAACGAGCATCCCTCATGCAACTTGTAGTAGCCCTCTCGACAGGCCCAGGCGCATCCGCTGGGCCCGGAGGAGGCGACGGCGTTTGCTGGCAGGCTAAGCGAGCATGGCTGGCACTCCTGGTCGCCCCGGCCCTGGTAGCCGTCATCGCATTCGAGGCGCACTAGTAGCATGCGGAACGCATTGTAGCCATCGTCGCAATACTGCAGAGCGTAGGAGTCGCCGCTGCGGTACAGGTTGCTCATGATGATCATGGTGCCGGGAGTTTCGAAGCCCTTGTAGTCCTGGTAAGGCTTTGCGGTCTGATAACCATAACCGTCTGCCAGCACCATCCCACGAGCCCCCCACGGGTACGAGGCGATGACCTTGACTGCCTCCTGGCTCCAAGACGCCAACGTCCAACCAACCGGAGGCTGCTGGTACAGGGAGCCGTCCCGCTGACACGTTCGGTCCAACGACGTCGGAGAAACATCATCGAAGGCTGCATAGACTTTGCCGCTATACCTGACCACGTGCTGTAAGTCAACGCTGACGTTGCAAGCTTGACCGTCACGGCCGTCGATAGCGCATGACCACTGGCACGAGTCAGGCTGATCTAGCAGACCAGCAGAGGAGTAGTAGGCGAACTTGGGAATGGGGTTGGTACAGGGGAAGCACACCATCCATTCGGAGCTCCGGTAAAAGCCGGCGTTGCACTCCCAGGGACACTTGCTGTCTGCATACTGGCTGGGACTTGTCGCTAAGGCGTAGCTGGCGTTGGCGGGGATGGGGTTGGAGCAGGCGTAGCAGTAAGAGCCGGAGAGGTAGAACCCGGGAGCACAGTAGAGCGAAGCAAGGAGAATGTCTGAGCAGGAATCATACGCCCGATACTGCCCGTTGAAGGACGACACTTGCGACCAAGTCCATGCCCAAGGCCAGTTACAGCAGTAACAGTTGGAGGTGTAGTAGAGGTTGCCGTCTGAGAGCTGCATGTAACAGACCCCCCAACGCTGACTAGCGATGGCCATCTGACTTTCCCAAGTGTTGGACGCGACCGCCCAGCCTGCCGGGATGCTGTGAAAGCTCATCGGTGTGTTACAGCTGTAGTAATCTTGAGCGCGATGACCGTTGAGAGAAGCGTAGTAGCGATTCCCGTACTCGAACAGCTCACAGCTGCTGCTGTTGCCCCTCACGTGACTCGAGGTGAGAAAACGACCAAAGTCGCAAGCCCAGCCGCATGTCGTGCCGTTGTCTCCCTCCGGCAGCCACCGAGCCCATCGCGGCTTCTTGTCCTCGCATGCGACGCACTGGCCGTCCTTGAGGAAGTAGCCGCCTTCGCACCTCCACCCGCACACCGTCCATGACCCGTTGACTCCTCCCGGCCCGTACGCTACGTACTCCGCGTGCTCCGGCGCCGTCTTGCAAGGCTCGCAAGCCTCGCCTTGCCGCACGTACCCGGGCTCGCACTCCCAAGCGCAGACGCTGTCGTCGTAGCGGCGGGGGTCAGGCTGCCGGGCGTAGAGGGCGTGAGGGGGTATGGGGTTGGAGCAGTTGCCGCAGCTCGAGTCGTTACGGAGGTAGTAGCCCGCCGCGCAGTAGTGCGACACGAGCAGGACGGACGTGCAAGAGTCTGTCGACCTGTACATGCCGTCGTAGGATACGAGCGACGAGCAGCAGTCCTGCGGAGTCCACGACGAGCAGCACCCTGCTGTGCACCATGTTTGACCGTTTGCCACCATAAGCCCACACCTCCCCCAGCTGTACCTCCATGCCGTCAGCTGGCTGTCTCTAGAGTCCGGGGCTATCTCCCAGCCAGCCGGCATCGGGTAGAGCTCATGGTTGTAGTTGCATCCGTAGTACGGCTTGTACGGCGACGAGCCGTCGAGGGCCGCGTAGTACCTGCCCTGGACCTCCAGCGGGAGGCAGTCTCCCTCCGCCGACACGAAGTAGCCGAAGTCGCAAGCCCAGCCGCATGTCATGCCGTTGTCTCCCTCCGGCAGCCACCGAGCCCATCGCGGCTTCTTGTCCTCGCATGCGACGCACTGGCCGTCCTTGAGGAAGTAGCCGTTAAGGCATCGCCATTGACATTCATACATGGGGTCATTGCGCTGGTTTACTTGTATGTACTCGCTGTTCAGAGGCTTCATTGCGTTGTCGCAAGGCTGGCAAATTCCGTCTCGCTGTTTGTAGCCAGCGTTGCACACAAACGCGCATGACGCATCAAGGAGTTGGTTGTTGTTTGCTACTACAAGGCCGTATGAAGACTCAGCTGGAATCTTGTTGCTGCATGGCTCGCAGTTTGAACCACTTTTCGTGTATCCAGGAGCGCAATCTATAGACCTGAGGAGTACAGAGTCCCAACAACTATCAGGCTGGTACAATCCGTTGTAGGAGTACAAGGCGTGCCAGCAACAAAACTCGAAGGTGTTTGAGCTTGTACACCAAGCCGTGTGCCACTCAGATCCGTCTGACAACACCATGCCGCAAGAGCCCCAAGGATACATCCAGGTCACTCTCTTGCTGTTGTCATCGTTTGGAGCGAGCTCCCAACCTGACGGTACCGGCAGATACTCTTGACTGGTGCATATCTGTGAGTCGTGAGGGCCTCGCCCTGCAAGAGTTGTGTAGAACCTTCCCGCAAACTCCACTCCGATGCATCTTTGACCTCGCCTGATGTACCCGAAACGACATGCCCACTCGCAATTCTTCGAACCGTCTGGACTCCCCAGGAAGTAGGCAAAGTCAGGAAGGTTGACCTGGCAAGTCACACAGCTAGCGCCTTGGCGATAGTAGCCAACTAGGCATGTCCAGCTGCAGCTGTCTCCTGGGCTGCTGGAGTAGACTGCATGTGGAGGGGCGAGAGAGCAGGAGACACACGAGGTGGCAGAGGCTGACGGGTAGAAGCCGTCGTCACACTCCCAGTCGCAGTTGTTCTTGTACACGGGAGACCCGCTGCTGTTGTATGTCGTATGCTCAGGTTTCCAGTTGGTGCATGGGACGCACAGCGTCATGTTGTTCGCGTCTCTGTGATGTCCGGGCAGACATTCTTGAGCCACCACAAGAACTGTCCCACAGAAGTCTCGTGTCCTATAGAAGCCATCGTAGCTGTACAGTTGCGATCCACAGCACATGCTTCCGTACCCTGCGTTCCATGCCGTTCCATCTTCAAGCACGACGATGTTCGACCCCCACGGGAATTCGGCAGCTACAGCGATGCTATCGAGTGTGTTAGGGGCCAACATCCAGCCCTCAGGCAGCCTCCTCGCTCCCTCCCAGATGCACATCGACGAGTCGTACGGGCCTCTCCCTTCCAAGCTCGCATAGCGCTGACCCATGTACTTGATCGAGATGTCCTCGCACGTGCCGCCCTGGCTGAGGCGGAACCCGAAGTCACAAGCCCACGAGCACCCAGAGCCCTCCCAGTGAGCGTTGAGAGGAGCAGGAGAGGAACAAGCCTCACACTTCCACCCCTCTACCTCGTGATAGCCCGGCAGGCAGCTCCAGTCACAGCTGTCCGGCTTGCCCATCAGTCCGGTTGCAACATAGACGGCAGCCGAGGGCTTGCCCACACACTTGGAGCATGAAGATCCTGTCGGGTAGAAGCCAACCTGACAGCTCCACCCGCAGCTAGTCGCCTCCTGCGGGTAGGGCGAGATCACGTAGTGGGCGTCTGTGGGGATGGTGTTGGTACAGGGAATGCAGCGGGAGGAGTTGGAGGGGCCTGACCCGGAGACTGCAGGAGGACTGAGCATGTAGCCAGCTGCGCACATGGGCGCCATGAGCAGAACTCGAGACTCGCAGTCTGTCGAACGATAGTAGACGTTGTCATACGAGGACAGATAGCCGTTGCTGTAGTAGGAGCCCGGAAAGTAATTCCAGTAATACCAGTAATACCAGTAATAATACCATTCATACCTGTGGTCTGCCGAAATGAGGCTGTTTGTAAAGTAGCTCGAGCCAGTGTCGAGCACGAGTCGAAGGGCTCCCCAGTCGTACTTGGCGGTGACGTTGACGCTGATCTCGTTCTGAGGTGCCACCGCCCAGCCTGCTGGAAGCGGCAGGTACTCCTCCCACTCAGATACGCAGGTCGATATCGAGTACTGCGAGTGAGGTCCGTATCCCCCGAGCGTCGAGAACACGTATCCTTCCTCCTCCACAACTTCCTGCCAGGCACAAGAATCAGACCCATCCTGTCGTCCTGCCGATACAAACACAGCGTTGCTCGGCCTCTTAGTGCATCGCTCAGAGCTGCCGATAAGCAGAGGGTACTAGACAAGGTGAGGATGACCAAGAGTGCAGATCGCAAAGGCATCTTGCGATTCCTTTGAACTGCAGTACCTAACGAAAATTTAGTCCGTTGTTTCTTGAATGAGATTCATGCATGTTTTGAAATGACATGATAGCAAACAAATGGAAGTAGAGACAGAGAAGAGAAAATGTGAATACAAAGGCAAAGCAAGGAGAAGCGAGAAGGAAGGAACGGAAACCAAGAATGTCAACGAGAAGATGGGGTCATGTGGGTCATGTGGGGAAAGCCATCGAGGAGAGTTGAGGAAAAAGAGGGAGAAGGGAAGCGAGGCTGAGAGGAATGTGGTGGCCTTGGGGGTAGGGGTGAATACAAGTAGGGGTCCTTTACACTATTTCCGCACTGTCGTAGAGGGGGTAGGTGAACACTGTTGAGGAATGTCGGAAGTAGTTGGTGCATGTGGCTTGACTTGTTCGACGGTTTGAAAATGAAAATTGAAGGGGTAGGGTGGTCAGTACTGAAGGGAAGGACCGGTGGTGGACTGACCCCAGCTGTACTTATGACAACTCGTGAATAACCCCACCCCCGTTGTTGTTCAAGTTGTCAACATTCATCTTCACCCCTGCAGGGTTTCCAAGGTAAAATAGACCCCTGCATTCTCACCCACCCTGTGATGAAAGAGGGACCCCAACAAGGAAACGATCCACCCCCACCCGGGTATGGTACCAAAAACAACCCCCCCCCCGGGGTCGGAAAATTTTCAAGTGTTGGGAGGAGATTGGGGGAGGGGTGATAGCACAGTCATTTCCGTGGGTATCTGTGGGATAACGGCTAGTGAAAGTATGGAAGTGGGTAGTGAAAATTATGGAAGTTTTTTTAAATTTTGGGTTTTATTTTTAAAAAAGTCATTGACGTTTTTGGTTCTTAAGCTGTTGATATTGACATTTCCAACACAAATCTGTATTTGTTGAAGTTTTTGCAGTGTTTGAATCTGAATCGTGTAAATCATCGGAATCTGAGTCAGAATTTGAATGTGAATCTGAATCGGAATCTGAATTTGAATCTGAATCGGAATCTGAATTTGAATCTGAATCATCTTGTGAATTATCTTGTGAATCATCTTGTGAATCATCATGTGAATCATCTGAGTTATCTTTTGAGAAATGAGGCCACCACCGGTCCTCAGCGGAAGGATAGCAACGGCCCGCACCTGACGCGCTAGGAAGTTTGCATGTGTAAATAATGTACTTTTAAGCACGACCTGGTACTAGGTTTGTACTGGGTTGTGCCATATAACATTTTTAAAGACCATACAACGGGGCACTAGCAAGCGTCCGCGAACACGCGCTGCCAACGGGCCGGGCCCCCCTCGGAATTAAAAATTATTATCCGAGGACTCTTATTGAACTGAGTAAGGGCAGAGTCACAAGGACGAGACTGACGGACTTGACATTCAAATTGAAAACAACCTCAGATATATACTACATTACATGCATGATGAAAGGAGAATTGCTCACTCAAAGTACGACGCTGAGTGATGCAACGCAACGCTCATGAGAGAACTTCGGCGGAAGAGTCTAGCAGCCCTTTTGCTTCCTGTAGCTGGACCGGTCGTGTTTTGCCGTTACTTCACGTAGGAACCTCGTCTTGTTTCCGGTACTTGACGGGAATAAGAACGTTGAGGTCTTCGTCATTGTCGGCTTCCACTCCGAGCTATCAACAGATTCATCACACCACGTCAATGATGCACAGACTGCCTGACCTGCTTGGCGAGGATGTGGAGAGCTTTGAAGAACTCGCCCTTGTCCATCTCCCTTGAATCACCATCAGCTTCAGGGCCCTGGTTGGCCTTCTTGAAGATGCTGGTGGCCTCCGTCTTGGTGACTTTCCCTTTGCTCTCCTTCCCCTTAGGCAGGATCTCCAAGAAGTCGAGGGCCTTGAACCACTGCAGAGACGGGCTGTCAGGGTCGATCGGAGGTAGCTCAGGCAACGTGACCTCGTTCATGTCCATACTCTTCGTCCGCTTCCCGACCTGGGTGCCGTCTCCAGCAGAGAACTTGATGAAGACTTGCAGCATGTTCTCAGGAGGCTGCGGCTTCTTGATCTCTCGCTTCGGCTTCGAGACGAGGTACTGCAGCTCAAGGTCAGCAGGGGCTGAGCTGGAGGAGGGCCGACCTTTCTCTGCTTGACGACGGGCGAGGCGGGCTCGGGAGGGATGCTGGTCGCGGGCTCGAGGAAGAGGAGTTGCGTTCTGCTGTCCCTTCCCAGCTCCTTGGCGATCAGGTCCATGGCCTCCTGTTCAACACAACCTGGTCAAAGGAGCCTGAAAGCTTCGCCGGGCCCTCTTACTCTGAACTCGTCCAGGTTCATCTCACTCGTGTCGTCGTCCTTGGCGCTCGATTTGTTCGCCTTCTTGAAGACGTTCGCCTGCCCCGCGTCAACCGACTTTGACAACCACGTTCCTCCAAAACAACCGCCACAGTCTTGCTGAGGTGTCCGACTCCGCCTTTCTCGCGTGGAACGATCCGCATATCGGCCAGCATGTTGGTGAATTCCTGCCGAACATGCTCTTACAAGGAGAACAGTCTCCTTGCTGCACGCTCTTACCAAGAAGTCCATGGAAGTTGATCTTTTGCCCTGCCCAGAGAAGCCGGTTCCAGAAGAGCAGAACTGGATAAACAGCTACGAAAGGCACTCAGTCATGAGGAGCGATCTAGGTTGGATATCGTACGTTGTCGAGCTCTTGGAGAGCTCTCTCTAGGCTGAAGGACTCTGGCAGGTTCAGAGCACTCTCCCGCGCCTCCTTCTCCTCCGCTTCCCTCTTCCTCCTCTCCGCGTCCTCCTTCTCCTGGAGCGCTACTCTCCTCTGCTCGAGAATCCTGCACGACCTTAGCGAGGCTTCTGCTGTCAGCCCGCAACATGAGCACTCACCTCTCTCCGAACTCCCTAGTCTTCTTCTCCTGCTCCTGCCTCCACGTCGGGATCCGCAGGTTGATGCCTACCGCGTGCGCGTTGATGAGCAGGGAGTATAAAGTCTTGTTCTGCTGGAAGACGACTTCCAGAAGCTTCTCTTGTCCTTCCTTGTCGATGGTGTTCTTGTCGAGGTCCAGCACTTGTAACGAGGTGTTGCTCTGCAGTGCCTCGGCCAGGCTGATGGCGCCGGAGGAGGTGATGCCGTTGGAGCTGAGCCGGAGCTCTTTCAAGAAAGCGTTCCTCTTCAAGGCGTTAGCAAACGCCGAGGCTCCCCTGGACCACAACATCAGTCATCGGGCCCGGGCGCCAGCGCAAGGCTGAAAACTCACCCGTCCTCTATCCAGTTGACACTGAGATCAAGACGAGCAAGGGACTGGTTGAGGATGACGGCTGAGGCGAGCATCTTCGCGCCTTGCTCGCCAATCATGTTGCTGGAGAGGTCAAGGTGCTTGAGCGACTTGTTGAAGGTCCGCAGAGACGTGCCGAGCTGTGTGGCAGCAGCGTCGCCCAGAAGGTTGTCAGCAAGGGAAAGGCTTGTGATGTAGTTGAGTTTGGCGTTGAGGCCTCGCTGACAAAACTGGACCACAGGTTCATCTTTCAGCGAGTTGGAGTTGAGATTCAATCGTGTCAGGGTAGAGTGTCCGACGAAGAGGCGAGTCAAAGTCTCCGTGGTGCTGCCCTTCACCATGGATGGAGTGAAGCAAGACTTCAACGTGACTCCTTCGACCTGCTTTGCTGAAGATACAGTGGAAGCGAGGAGGTCGCAGAGGTATTCTTCCATGAGGGTATATTCTAGCGAAACGTTCTTCCCCAGGCCTGACTGGACTGCTTCGCAGATCGAGCCCCAGATCTTCCTCCCGAACTTTGCTCGGACGATCTTAATAGACCGCAGGCTCGTCTGCTGCAGCAGCCGAATATTCTCCTTCACCTCTTTCTCATCCAGAGTGATACCGATGAGAACCAGGTTGAACGCTTGCTGCTCAAGTCCCGCCAGCGCAATAGCAAGTTCCTTCACCTGCACCTCGCAGTCCTGCGCGAAGACGCAGCAGAAGTTCACCTCCTCCACCGCTCTCCTCCTCACCCTCAGCCCAACTTGGATCTCGCTAGGACTCAACGGAAAATCCTCAAGCGGCACTCGCTGGGCCTCGACGTCCTCCAGCTGTTGCCTCCGCTGTTCGGCAGCTCGTCCCTTGAACTTCTTGATGGGTCCCACGTACTGGAGGAGGAGAGACGCTGCTGAGGCTCGAGGAGGAGGATGAGAAGTCTCCGATAGGCTATGAAAGGCATTGGATCTCGCCTCTCGCGGAGCAGAACTCTCCTCCACGAACTTCAACATGCGAGGGGAGCACGAGACAGACCAGGAGGGAGGGAAGGCTGGACGGAAACTAGGTGGAGGACGACAAGGGTGAGCAGGATGGTGAAGAAAAGAAAAGGAGAAGCAGGACGAGGGGGAGAAAGAGAAGTTGGGTCAGAAGGAAAGATGAATGTCAGATGATGAAGGGAAGGAATGGGGAGGAGCAGGAGGAGCAGGAGAAGCAGGAGGGAAAGGATAGCAGGAGGAGAAGAGAAGAACGACTGAGCAAGAACCAGCACAAGAGGAGGAAGACGAGGAGTTGGAACGGGAAGGAGAAGCGAGAGCAGGAGAAAGGTATAGATCGGAGTGCTTGACAAGCCTTCAACGGCTGGTTCTGTTGACCCTCACCCCCACCCCCTGTTTATGCGAATTACTCCCCTTCTATTTACAATGATTGAATAATAAAGCGGGTCATAGCAAGGAGGGTCAACGGTGCAGGTCTACTCTTCAATGTCTTCTTCTGCATATTGCCGGATGGATCGCGGGAGCTTCTTGATGTCTTTGATCTTCCCGTCGATCGCCTTGTCGATCAGTTTGGCTTTCAGCCTCTCCTTCGCCTCCTCGTCGAAGATCCTCGCTCTGATCTCCTCCTGTCTCCCGCGTCAGGAAGTCCGCAAGGGTGCAACCTAGCTGCTGGGGTACCTTGAGCTTGTAGCAGTTCTTGTCATTTGTCAGCTGCATCCAGTGCAATGGAGGAATGCCTTGAGACCGAGTCAGCTTCTACATGGCAGCCTCCCTCCCTCCTACCTCCGTATTCCTCGAAGATCTTCGTCGGCGGTTTCTCACGCTTTTGGTTCTTCACAGTTTCAGCAGCATCTTGGCAAGCAATCAGCATCCAACATAAACTTTGTCAATCATCACCCAGGTCCGGAGCGAAGTCATATCCCCCATATCTCCTGATCATATTTGCAGCCTGAGCAACTTTAGCGATCCGACAGCAGCACGACAGACTGCAACACCTCGATGCATCCTGGGTTGCCCTCATGGTTCAGCTCAGCCGTCTGGATAGCAGAGTATCCTTCCTTGTTACTCGCCTTGAAGTCAACGCCGAGTAAAATCAGCTTCTCCACGAGCCGCGGGAACCTGCGCACTGTAGCATCACCATCTTCACTCCACCGCCGCTGCACTTGCCCTCGAACAGCAGCATAGTGCACGGGTGTTTCTTCGAAGACATCTCGCACGTCGAGACGAGCTCCATGAGATACAAGGCAATCTACAAGTTTCATCTTCTTGTCTTCGATGTCTGCCGCGGTATCGTTGGTGAGGAAGTTTGGATAAGCTGTACAGGACGATCAGTGGGAGCTTCGAACCAAGAAGTATCACCTGAAGCTGGCATGCCAGCGCAGCAATGGAATATCGCCGTTGCCGCCATCCCATCATCAAGGTCCACGGCATTCACTTGAGCTCCCTTTACAAGCACATCGTTGGCTCTATCTACATCATGCTCTTCGCACGCGTCCCAAAACTCCCTGTTCAACGCCTGGATCTCGGGGTCATCCTTCTCGAGCTCCATGTCATCGGTGATGTGTAACGGTTCAGAGTAGTGCTTGATGGGATAGTGTGCCGAATACCCTGGATGCAGCAGCGGCCATTCATCGTCTTCCACCATGCAGGCGAGATCCCGGTCCATCTCGAGCTGCCGTTGTTTCTCCATCTCTCTGAGCGTGTGCTCGCGATCCGGAGCATCTCTATCGTCAAAGTCCTTTGCTCCTGTTGCTGTTCCGTTGGGGTAAAAAAAATCGATGACCTCCTCGCCTCCTCGCACGCGCAGCAAGGAGGAGCTCGGTGAAGGAGCTTTCAGGCCGAGAAGAATCGATTGGTGGGGATGGAAAGGTAACTGCCGTTGTACTGAGGAGGAAGTCTGAGCAAGGATCAGAAGGAAGAGTGCGGTGAGAAGAGGAGGAGGAAGAGGAGCCCGGGGAGGAGAGGTATGAGAAACGCGGGTAGCGCGACGTGGTTTGGTCCTGCCCATTGCGACTAATGCGGGCCAAAGGAACATGTTTTACAAAAGCGAGCCAACCCCTCATCAATAAGTTATCAGCGAGGCAGGCTTGCTGAAAAGTTGATTCAGGGGGTGGGGGTGATATGAGTAGGGGGTTATCTTCAGTGATTTAAGCTAATAATTGAGGTGGTAGGGTGAATGATGAGTCCGGGGTAGGGTCAGGCGTTGGCGAGAGAAAATGCCCGACCGTTGCCCGGCATGTTGGAGGGGAGGAGGCTAGCAGCCGCTCTTCCTCCCCCCTCCTCTCCCTCCTCCTCCCTCCCTCTCTCCCTCTCTTTTCTCGTTGAACACTTCCAGCTCCACCAACCTCTCTCTGCCTCTGCTCCTCCACTCCACCCTCCTGCCCTTCTTCTGTCTTGCAATTTCCAACCACACCAGTCTTTCCTCTAAGATCAATTTCTTCTTCCGTTGGCAACATCATGGATTCAGACAAGATAGACCAGATCGAATGGGATCCAGAATGGGAGGAAGATGGTGACTTTCTTCTAGCGAATCTCCCTTGCTGATGAATTTTCTATCAGATGCCTCGAATGCTGCAGCATATCAGGTTTGCTCGCTGCATGGCTGCTCACAATATACATGAGTTAACATCAAAATACACAGCAAGAAGAAGCCTTGGACTCAAGCACACGATACTTTGTCAATCTAGGAACGACGTCCTCTCTGCTCCAACTCAAGGTGAGCTGAAGGGTATGGGAAGGGGGAAAGGGTGACGTGGGGACAGGGCTCGCTTGCCTCCATCCTTGCTGCTCCTCCATCGACCGACCTTTATGCTGCTCTGATCAACAAGCTCGAGAAGGCCGTGCCTGAGGTTGATGCGGACCTGGATGGGCTGAGATGAACATGCTAGCAGGAGGACAGGGAAGACTTCGCTGCGCTGCTCATTCAGAAGGCATGGAGGAATGTGCGAGCAAGGCGGAAGGTGGGACAGAGTTCTACTCCTCCTCCTCCTCTGCTGACCTTGCTCCTGCAGGCCAAGGCAGACAGGCTCGCAAGGAGGCTGGCGAGCATCATGTTACTGCAGTCGACGTACAGGTAACATGTTTGGTGTGTGGCGGTGAAAGGCTGACATGGGACAGGGGTCATCTAGCTCGACGATTCGTCCTGCACCTCAACAAGGTAGGAAACATTTCCCGCAGGAGAGGAAGTGACGCCTGCTGGGCAGGCGGCAGCTCGGATACAGGGACTGGCACGGGGACACTCGACGAGGAAGCGATTGAAAGCTGAGAAGCGGAAGAACTGCGCGGTGTGGCCTCCCTTCTGCAACGAAGATAGAGAGAGTAGAAGAGGAGGGAGCAAGAGGATAGCAGGGAGAGGGAGGAATTGGGAGGAGCCTGATATTTCTGCCTGATATTTCTGTGCAGAGGAAGATTCAGCGATGGTTTCGAGCCTGCATCACTCGCGACATCATGTTCCGCATGAAGAGGGAGCAGGGAGCTACTTGTCTCCAGCGCGTGTACCGCGGGCATCTGGGCAGGAAGAGCTGGAGGTTCCGACAGCAGACGCTAGCGGCCAACGCCGTCCAGCGGTGCGTCAGAGGGCACGAAGGGCGCAAGTCAGCGCGGGCTGAGATGCAGAGGTTGGCGATAGCGCGGCAGAAGAGGATGGAGAGGGCGGCTCTCAAGTTCCAGGCGATCTATCGGGGGTTCACATGCAGGAAGTGGATCAGGAGGAGGATGCCTGCGCTGGTCCTTGCTCGGAGGATCCGCATGGTGCTGCGGCTGCAGAGGGCGTTCCGAGGGTACAGGGGGCGGCTGGCGTACAGGATGGCCCTGCAGCTGCAGCAGATGGACGTGAAGAGTGCTGCGCTGATTCCGTTGCAAGCTCTTGCTAGGGGGCACATCATCAGACAGAGGCTGAGGGATGAGGCGGAGCGCGTCATGGCGGAGGAGGCAGCAAGCCTTGCCTCCTCCCTCCTCCTCTTTCGGCAGAACAGAAGCGCTCGCATCATTCAGTTGGGATGGCGAGCATGGACGGCCTTCAAGTACGAGTGGGCAATGAACAGGTTTGCCAGCAGGATACAGATCTGGTTCAGGGTGAGGAGGATGAGCTCGTTAGGAAGGATGCAGAGGAGGAAGATATTCCAGTCAGCCACGAAGATCCAGAGCGTGTGCATGGGTCACAGAGGAAGGAATATCTTCAGGGAATTCAAGAGGACCAAGTTCGCCACCCGCATCCAGGCGACTTTCCGCGGGCATCGGGAGAGGGTTGTGGCATTCCAACTGCTGCGGGAGGCGAGAGAGCAGGCGAGGAGGGAGAGGGAGAGGCGGCAGAGGGAGCTGGAGGAAGAGCGGCGGCAGTTGGCGATCATCGCACAGTCTAATCGAGGACAGATTGAAGTTTTCGTGCAGGAGCCAACTCAGAGTGGTCTGTCCTCCCTCTACTCCACTTGTCTTTCTCCTCCCTTCCTCTTCCCTTCCTTTGATTCCTTTACCCATCCCTTCCCATCCCATCCCATCCCATCCCATCCCATCCCATCCCATCCCTTCCCTTCCTTCCCTTCCCTTCCCTTCTACTCTACTCTGATTCCATCCCCCCTCTCTCCCTCCCAGCTCAGCTCACCTTTCTTCAGATGCGTCCTACCGACCAGCGCAGATAGTCCCTGGGTACATGAAAGTCATAGCCGAGCAGGAGGAGCGGGTCAGGAGACCAACAGTGAGCAACGCCGTGCTGCGAGGGGTAACGGTAAAGTCAAACCTTTCTGAGGTCAGGGCAGCGGGCAAGCTACAGGTAAAGGAGAACCTCCTCCTCCCCCTCCCCCTTTCACCTTCTTTTCCCTCCTCCCTCTCCTAACTCCTCACTGCAACTTCCATCCTTTCCTCTCCTTTGCTTGTATGCAACTCCTCTTCCTTCATTTCCATGTATCAACTCTCCTCCTGCCCCTTCGCTCCCCTCTCCTCCCTCCTCTTCCCCTCTCCTCCCTCCTCTTGCCCTCTCCTCCCTTTTTCTTCCTCTCTCCTCCCTCCTCTTCCCCTCTCCTCCCTCCTCTTCCCCTCTCCTCCCCTCTTCTCTCCTCCCCTCTTCTCTCTTGCTGTCCTACATGTTCATCCTCGTGCTTGCAGGCGAAGAGCGACGATTTCGGGTGGCAGTCCGTGGATCCTTCGGTTGATCCTTACGAGGGTCTCGACCTACACGACCAGGTTCTCCTCCTCCTCTCCTCCTGCCCTCCCGTACCTCCTGCCCTTTCTCATATTTCTCCTCTCCCCTCTCCTTCTCCCTTGCTCTCTTGTCCCTGTCCCTCCCTCTTCCTCTTCCTCTTTCTCCTCTTCCTCTTCCTCCTCAACTCACTTCCTTTCCCCCTTCAGTATTCTAGCGAGGACGAGGCAGACGCTCAATCGCGGGAGTGACTCTGATGAGGAAGACGGTCGGGCGAACAGACGCCTTCACCCTTGGCAGCATCAAGGCTTCCGCATCCACCGAGAACTTGCCGCAGATCGCTCCCTCCTACCTCAAGAGATATCTGGAGGCGACAGAGGAGATGCGGGGGAGGCTGAGCAGTACGGTGCCGAAAGGTCAGCCTCCGAACCTGTCCCCCCTCTCTATCCCTGACCTCGCTCCTGTCCTTTCATACCTTCCCTCCGTCTCTCCTCTCCTCTTCTCCCTTCCTCCCCCCTCCCTCAACTCTTCTCCTCTCTCCTGTCCTTTTTTCCGATTCCGTTGAGCCCAAAACGCCTGCAGAGTTCAAGCTGGCCTACTCGGAGGAGAACGAGGAGGAAGAAGAGCCAAGGAGGAAGGACCGCTCGCTGTCTCCGAGGCAGGTTGCAGGGATCTTGACCAGCAGCTGACGTGGCGAGCAGGGACCAACAGCTCACCCCAGCTGAGGTCGTGCACAGGCAGCGGGTCCGCAGACTGGACGAGAAGATGAAGAGCTTCCGGAGGGCTGCTGGGAATCTGCAGGGGACGGCGAAGGGGAGAGAGCAACCAGATGTCAAGACTTCCACTCCTTTCTATGAGGTCTATAGCCAGGTGAACCGAAAGCTCCTCCTACTGCCTTCCCTGACCCTCCCCCTCCCTCTGCCTGCTTAACCGGCCCCTTCCTCTCCCTGTAGTGACCCTTCCTCTCCCTATACTGCCCCCTGCCTCTGCTCTATTCCTACCCCTGTTGTTTCATGTATTAGCCCCTTGCCGTGACAAGTTGGTTGAACTTGCGTACTGACATCTTGCTTTCTTTCTTCTTGACTTTCTCTCTCCTCTTCTGTCCTCCTTTCCCTTCTCTCTCCTCTTCTGTCCTCCTTTCCCTTCTCTCTCCTCTTCTGTCCTCCTTTCCCTTCTCTCTCCTCTCCTGTCCTCCTTTCCCTTCTCTCTCCTCTTCTGTCCTCCTTTCCCTTCTCTCTCCTCTTCTGTCCTCCTTTCCCTTCTCTCTCCTCTCCTGTCCTCCTTTCCCTTCTCTCTCCTCTCCTGTCCTCCTTTCCCTTCTCTCTCCTCTCCTGTCCTCCTTTCCCTTACCCTCCAGGAGCTGGTGGCCAACAAGCAAATCCGTCAGCGCTTCAAGCTCGACAAACTTTCTCTGTCTCGACGAGGAGCTGGCGAGACGAACACTTAGGGATGTATATATGTCATGAGGAGCAGGAGCTGGAACGGGGATGATGGAAAGAGAGGAGGAGAACGAGCTGGCGCCGGGAGCGCTCAAGGAGCAGGAGGAGCAGGATCAGGGGTGTAAAAATGTACATGAAGCTGTTAAATTAAAGGTTTGAGGCTCTTCCTCCTCCTCTTCTTCCTCCTCCTATGCCTCTGGGACGTATCCCTTTCCTAGTCATCCCATCCATTGACCCGAACCTCCTCCTCCCTCCTACAGCGGCGTCTGAGCATCCCATCCATCGGGAGAGCTTCGTCCTCCTCTAACCTGCCCTCTCACCCCAGCACCAGCCCCAGCTCCTGTTTCCCCTTCTCCTGTTCTCCCTTTAGGCCCTGCACTCGCTCCTCTTTGCTTGCCCACGCGCGTCTCTTTGCGGGATGTCGTCACTCCGTGCACGAACTTGTCCTCTCCCCTGCTCTCTCCCCTGCTCGCGGGCTGCCTGCCATGCTCCTCCTGTTGGGCAAGCGGCGACTCGACCTACGAGTTGGTGAGGGAAGCAATACAAGAGGGAGGAGGAAAGGAGAGAACAATTTGAACATAAGGACGAAGAGAGCAAGGTAGGCAACGGAGAGAACCACAGTAAGCAAGATAAAGTCGAGGAGGAACGAGAGGAGGACGAGGAGGATACCTGGTTCAATGCCAGCTCAGCTTCAGATTTCGTGGATCTGTTGAGAAACGGTCAAAGTTTTGACAACTACAGCTGGGAAGCATGGCAGACCCGATATGCACGTGTTTCCTTCCTCGGTAGGGGGGGATCGGGTTAGAGAGTTTGAGCAAGGCAACCCTCTGTAGCGCAATGAGATTCAGAAACACACGTGGGAGGAGGAAGTGATGGAAATGGAGATGGAGATGGAACAAAGAGGAGGAGGAGGAGGAGGAGGAGGAGGAGGAGGAGGAGGAGGAGGAGGAGGAGGAGGAGGAGAGATGTTGGAGGAGGACCAAGGAGCAAAAGAGAGAAGAAGAAGAAGGAAGCAGGAGTGAGGCGGAGGGGAATCATGTAGGAGCAGTAGGAGGGAGCAGTAACAGAGTGGAGGGGAGGGAGCTCAGGGAGGTGGGAGAAAGAGGCTCACCCGCTGAGCGAGCAACTTCTTCTTGAGGTTGATCCTCTCGAGCTCGACCTTCTCCATGTGGGAGGAGACGAGATTCATGGAGGAGGCGAACGACAGGGAGAAGACTCGGTTCTCCTCCACCCTCCCTCCCTCCCTCGCTGACCTCAGCCGCTGCCTCTTCTTCTCTATCTCACCAGCCTGAGCCGCCTGCGGTCAAGTGAGGAAGATGCAGAAAGAAGGCAGAGGAAGAGCAGGAGGAGACGGAGAACACAGCACGCATAGGAGAAGGCGCATGGAGAAAAGTGGAAGGATGGAGGAGGAGGAGGAGGAGGAGGAGGAGGAGGAGGAGGAGGAGGAGGAGGAGGAGGAGGAGGAGGAGGAGGAGGAGGAGGAGGAGGAGGAGGAGGAGGAGGAGGAGG